TTTTGTACAGAAAACAAAATTATCAAATATAGCCAATAAAGTGGTTGCATGTGTCTTATAAAGGGCAAAAATGGTATTTTTATTTTTACTTTCTTTTGATTAAATTTATTTAAATAAACATTAGGGTCAACACTATCATTTCCACTATCATCTAATGGAAGATTGATTAAATCCATTGCAAATTATTAGTGGTGTTTTAGTAAAATTTTAACTATAGGGTGGATTTTAGTAAATTCAATAAACTATAAGGGGTATTTTAGTAAATGTCCCTTTCTATTATTTAGCTTTTGCTTAATTAATCTTGTGCATCGCACCGGTCCCCGCTAGTGTGACATTAAAATAATGATTCAAGCAACTAACATAAACGACAAGCATTGTCTTTCGTAGAGAAAAAGGTCACTTGGGGTGGCTTTCTTTTAATCATTATTTTCTATTTTTGTACCAAACGATATATTGCAAAATATATGCTTTCATTTAATATTTGGCAAGGCAATCTACAAAGACAACTTTATTATTTATGCAATTAAAATTTATACAATAATTGAATGAGAAATTATCTAAAACTCACCATGAGTTTTCAGCATTTCTCTTAAACTCACCACAACTTTTCTAAATGTCTAAAACTCACCATGTCACTAACTTGACATTAAATAAACTAACAAATGTTAATATATTACCATTTTAATCTTCATAGAAAAATAGAAAATATATACAAATAAATTAACGGGTGTTAATATATTACCATTTTAATATTTAGACATGAAAAAAGGAAAAGTTCAAAAAAAATGTTTTCAAATATAAAATACATAAAAACATAGAAATTACAAAAAAAATATAAAAAATTATAGAAATTGAAAAAAAATAAAATATTATTTTCAAATGATAAAAACTATAGAAATTGAAAAACAAAATCAGAAAATAAAAATTGTAGAAGAAACACCAAAAATTATAGAAAAACACAGAAAATTGTAAATAAATACAAAAAATACAAAACAGAAATTATAACAAAACACTAAAAATACAAAAAAAAAGAAAATTGAAAACCGAAAAGACCATTTTTCCTCTAACTCACAATTCAAGGGTAATTTGGTCATGAAAATTGTTATTTATGCTAACATGGACACCTCTGTTAAAAAGCATTAACAGTGCACTAACGAAAGGTGAGTTTTGGAAAATAAAAACTTACTACCATGGTGAGTTTTAGACGTTTTGAAAAGTTGTGGTGAGTTTAAGAGAAATGTTGAAAACTCATGGCGAGTTTTAGACAATTTCCCTAATTGAATATAGGATAATCTCACGGTTTTTGAGGGTAATTTGATTTAGCAAGACTTATTCAGAAAGATTATTTTGATTTACCGATTTCTCAAAATTGTTTAGATTATTAGATTCCTTTGTTATGCAACGCATTTTTCTTTTCCTTTTTTTTTCGGGAGATTGGAGATGGTGAGGGAGATCTTTGTTTGCTTGGCTTTTGGGGCAAGTTTGTTATTTCAAATTTTGTTATTAACAAAATTTAAGGTGGTCGCCCCTCCACCTGAAATTAGGGGTAAGCATTTAGTTTATTCGGTTAAAAACCGAATCAAATAAACCAAAAATTTAAAACCCGAATTAAAAAAATAAAAACCGAACCAAAACGAAAATTTAGAAAAATCGAAATAACTAAAACCAAAATTTTCGGTTTGGTTTTCAGTTAAACCCGATTTTTAATAATATATACTCTATTATGTATATATTATATATTACATATAATAATAAAAAGTTCAGTTAACCGAAATTCTAATTCCAAAAACTGAATCCGAAAACCGAAATAGCCAAAAACTGAAAAACCGAATCGATTTAATCAAAAACCAAAAAAAATTGAAACCAAAATTTTTGGTTCAGTTATTTGGTTTTAATCTAATAATGCTCACCCCTACCTAAATAAAGTTTGGGGCTAAAAAATAGATAAAGTTGTGTTTAGTTGCAGTGCAAATTTATTTGCACTAATGCAAATGCATGGGAATGCAAATTCTTGTTTAATTTTGTTACGGATTTTATTTTATTTTGTTTCATATCTTAATTTACTTCATTTGTACTGCAATCAAACAAAATAAGCTAAAATTTGAAACAAAAATAGGTCAAAATTAACACTCAAATCATTTGCACTGCCATAAAGAAAAAAGAAACTGAAGATAGGATAAGATTTTTAATTCTCTTTGCAAGTATGCATATAAGATAGGGTTTACCAGCTGCAAATTTGCAGTTGCTTTATCCTCTATCTTTTAAATTTAGCTTTTATCAAAGTACGAGTCAAATTACCCAGTTTGTCTCTATTATGAGAATAATGTGGAGCGACAATTTCAGCCACCCGGTAAATTTTATTATTTCTTTGTTTGAACCCAATTTTATGATGGTTTAAAAAAGATTTGTGCCAATTGGGTAGAAGTGGATTTGAGCTGAGCCGTGCCGAATAGTACTAGGCTTGAGCTCAGCTTGAGACTATTCTACAAGGCTCGAGCTTGAGCTCAAGCTTGGCTTGGCTTGAGCTCGATTTTAAGAAAAATATTTTATAAAAATAGAAAATTATATATAAAAATAATTTTTTTATTTGATATTTAAAAAATTAAGAATTATAATAATTAATAATTATAATATTTTTATTATATATATTATTTTCTATAATTTTATTATATATATTCGAGCCGGCTCGCGAGCCTCACGAGCCGAGCTCTAGTAGGCTCTAGCTTGGCTTGTTTCACAATCGAGCCACTGAATTGGGCTCGAGCTCGGTTTCAACCGAGTTGAGCCGAGCTTTTCACGAGTCGAGTTCAAACAGCTCGTGAAAAGCTCAACTCATTGCCACCCCCTACAATTGGGTAAAAGAATGCAATATATGTGACAGAAGATATAGAGAGAAACACATGGACCCACACTTGGTTTAGAAGCTTGGATTATATATATAGGAGCAAAGCCCAAACTTTAACTTGAAACTTGCTTGGCTATATGACCTTGAATGGGGTTTGGCCCGTTCAATTGAAACTTGTTTTCTTTTTTTTAAGATTAAATGCAATTTCTGATAGCAACCACTTGGTAGTCAGGAATCAGCATTGAGTAATAACCTAATTTTCTAATTAGATATGATATAATGTATAAGATAAATATTTACATTAAATTTTTAGTTGTTTTCTTTCTATTTTTCAATGTATGTATGGGTTGCTTTATTTGTCCTCTAAAGTTGGACACCATGGCTTATGAGTTAAAGGGTCGTTTGACAAGTTTTTTTGGAAAGATCTTCTAGTAGTTCTGACCGTTAAAAAATGTATTGAGCTTTTGCATGAAGATCTGAGTAACCCTAAGTTAGTTTGGCTACTGTACACCTTTTCGTATGAGAATAAAGTGAGAAAGACACCAAAACCTCCAAAATGGGTTAAATCTATTATGAATCAAATGGAAAAAGACTGGTGCGATCTGTTCGACTTATAAAGAGCCGAAAGACTGTGTGAAAAGACAAAGCAAACAGGACCTAAGTTTTTCTTTTTTATTTTTTTCATGGCAATACACAATGGGGTAGCCCATCGCCCTCCCTCAATCCCCAACCCTGGTGGCGGCGGGATTTGATCTTAGGTCTCTATTCCAACGAGTGAGAGAACCTATCAATAACTGAGTAGTTGGTTATAAGCTCAAGTTGATTTTTCCCAAAGTTGGCTCGTAATAGTAATAACAAAGAGATGGAAAGAGAAGTAATGTACGTTAGGGGAAGGAAGTCTATTGTTTTCTTTTTGATAGATAAGTAATGCTATTGTTAGGGTATGACATATAGTGCGGATCAAAAATCAATTGCCATTTTATTTAGGCCATGTATCCCTTCATGAGTGATTGACTGCCTCATTTCTATGTGATAAGCGTTCTTTTATTGTAGAATGCACCATTACTAATTAAGCGTGGGAAGTTTGGAAATATTGGTGTGTTTTAACCTTAGATTGTAAGCTATTATTGTCCATTAATAACTGACTGAATGATCATCTCATGTCCCCATTTTCGTTTCTAAGTTTGGGTTGAAAGGACAGAAAGAGAGATGTCCCAAACTCTTTAAGATGTGTTATCATAGAAGGAAAAAAATCATCTGAATTTGAGTTGGGGTGTCAATGGACTGGATTTGAGTTAGATTCATCTCAATCAAAATCAGTTTGAATGGATTAGATGGATCAATAATGTAAGATTTGAATCAATCTAGACTTAATAGTCCAAAGTATTTATTAAATTGGATTGAACCTGATCCATTTGTGATAGATTTAAACCGAACTGGGTTAAATTGAATCAATATCCAATCCATTAACATAAGATAAAAGTACAAGTGTCAATTGCCCAAGTTTGGATTGGACCCAATTTAAATTAAAACTAATTTTAACATTTTAGATGATCCAAACTTCTAAAGTATTCATCGGATTGGATTGGACCTGATCTATTTGTAATGGGTTCATACTAGACCGGGTTAGATTAGACCAATATCCAATCCATTGACAACCCTAGTAGCACAATAATTAAGCGTTTAAATTTGTAGAGTACTTATATTTTGTATTATTTTGTATATAATTACACTATATATTTGTTCCAAACTGAGTCTTAAGTTTTGGGGCTCCAAATTGAGCTTGGGTTGAGGCTTTGGGGTAATCTAAGCCTGGCTTGACCCAACATTTCACAACAAAATATAGGGACCCACTCCATTTCCTTTAGAATTTAAGAATGGCGTGCAGTCATGGACTATGGGTTGGACATTCCACCTTGTATTCATGGTTTTCACTTTTCACCAATGATGGAATTAGTGGCATAAGGTTTTTAGTTTTCCAAATTTAGGATACTTATGTTAGACACGTGGCAAGCTGTTGGAGGGGATCTCGATTTGGAGACTTCTTTTTATACTCCAACTTACTTTGCCACGTGGAAGATTCCCAAGTCGTCTAGGGAAGCTCACTAAACGACAGGAGTGGCAAACCCGCTTCCATGAATTCAGTTCCCCCATTATACCTCTTTTTTCCGCTATATCATTGTCTTCGTCTTCCACTCTCTTTCCTAAACCAGTGTTCTCTGCGCAGACACACTGAGAAAGAGAGAGAGAACAAATATTGGGATATTTGTATTACTATGTAGCTGCATTTTGGTATGAATGCGGCGACGTTGGAATGTTGAGGGTGGGTTCCGTTTATTGTTGAAGAAAATTCCGATGGCTTCCCTTTCCTGAATCTGATCGGTGACGTCGGAATGTTGAGGGTGGGTTCTAATTTATTTTTGAAGATGATCCCTCATGGGAATGGAATAGTGGGGGCCCCGCCTCCCCTTGAATGGAAATTCTCTCAGGTTTTTGGAGAGCGAGCGGCCGGGGAAGAAGTTCAGGAAGGTACGTCGACATTCCTTTTTATTGCTTTTTCTGTTCTTAGCTGATTTTCCTTGATGGGTGTATTTGTTTCTCAAAATTTGATGTGTACATAAGATGGTTTTCACATTTAATAAGAATCGTCTTTTGCCTCTACTGTGTAATCCATTTCTTTTTCCTTTGTTTTTTCGTTATTTTACCTCGTGATTCTTTTTATCCTGAGAGTTTATGTAGCCGGAGGAGGTTTTATGTTTCAGGCTTGTTGATGTGTACTGTTGGAGTATACATCGGGAATTCGTGGTATTTTTCTTCTGACTTGCTGTGTTTGTTCCGAGATCTGCTGAGTAATTTGATATGGAGATTTTCTGTTGGAATTCTTTTATTTAAGTTCATTATATGCTTCATATAATTGATACTATTTTCACATTGCTTAATAGAATTGATACTATTTTCTCATCAACGTATTTGTTTGGGGCACAACTTTTATAGAGGTGATCAAGAGGTCTAATATTATTCAGTTTTTCATTTTTCTGTTGTTTTATGACTATTCTGATAAGCCAGTTTGAATATTGTCCTGGGAGTTCTGAATCACTGTGACATTCTTTTTTATATTTAGGCTGGGCAATATATCATTTGACGGGTAGTATGTCATGTCTCTATCAATCTGTATGAATGTCTCCAGCAATTTCTGATTCATGTTTTGGTCTAATTGAGCTGACGACTATGGCTTTCATCAATGTTTATGACTGCAGATTGGGAAGGGATGGCTTCAAAGGCTGCCGATGCTTTTAAATAATTATTTTGTTAATGCTTAATTGCATTGGGGAGCATAACTACTTAAACTGTACGAAAAATGGTGAAGGTGAAAATATAAAATTATAATTTATTTAAAAGAAAGGGAGTGTTGTTCAAAGATGCAAGTTTTTAATGTGCATTGGAGTACATTCTTCTGCTCAGGTTAATATACTTAGTCAGTCAGTAGCCATCATGATCTATAGAGCGGTCTAAGATCATGGTAGATATCTATTGCTCACTGTGTATTTGTTTTTGTGCATAACTGGTACCTTTTTTGGTGATTGAAATCCTCATTAGTTCTTTCCCCTTTTGATTTAGTAGGCTATTCATTTATTCTTTTCTCTAGAGAAAAACGAAAATGAAAACACAAGAGGATAGAATTTTTGCTACATTCTGGAAAGCTCAAGAGGAATCCTCTTTTGAAGCATTGTGTAAAGTTTCTCTTTATCTCAAATTCCTGGGTGCTTGCAACCAGGTAATATAGAGGATTATCTTATGGAAACATGCAAAAGAAACCTTGTGGATATTTTCAGGTTACATCCTGGGTGGCTTCCTAACCAAATCTATTGGAAGTCTCTTTTGGTCCTTTAAGGGTCCTATTTGCTGATGTCACCTCTAACAAGGCTGAGGTAATTGCCCTTCTTACCTTAGTTTAAATAGCAAAACGATTCAGACCTTCTTCTTTAGCTCTTAGGGGGATTTGGTCAACACAATTAAATGGAGTAGTTGGTAGTGGCCTGCCGTTTGAATGAAATTAGAGAAATACTTGCCTCATTTCTTGTCCAAAATATGTGGATTTAAGGGATCATAATTCGATAGCAGATGGCCTTGTAAGAGCTGGAATGGGGTGGGAGGAAGGATTTGTATACTGACAATTATATACCTTCTTAATTTCTTGCATACGATGGATGAAGCTCACTTCTTTTCTGTGTATCAACCATACACCCTCTCATGTACAAATATCTCCTTTTTTATAATGAATAAATGTAAATCTACTTTATTGTATCAATTCACCTCATACTTTATTGTATCAACCATACATTAATTCAACTCATCCTTAATCCCAACTATTTGGGGTCACCTATACAATCCTGTTCCACCATTGTGCTCTATCTTTTTTTTTTTTTGATCAATAACACTTTCATTAATTCATTAATAGAAGATTTACAAAAGGAAGACAAACACGCTTATCTTCCAAGAGCAACAAAGAACCTCAAGAAAAGGAAAAAAAGAAAAAGAAAAGAAAGAAAGAAAGAAAACACACTACAGTTACAGCTTGGCCCAAAAAAGTGAGTCCCTTTCTGCCCCTTGTTTAGCTAAACCGTCAGCTAGGGAATTAGCCGACCATTGTGCTCTATCAAGATCCATGTTTCCTGTCAAATTGTAAGTCCTTAAATAATTTTTTACCACTTCAGACCAAATTTTCTTGGGTCTTCTCTTGCTCTTTTAGAGCCTTCTTCTTGCACCAAGTCACTCTTAATTGGTATGGTCATTGGTTGTCTATGCACATGACCAGACTATCTCATTCAACTTCCCCTCATCTTGTTGCTATTTAGATCTACTCCTAAGTCTTATCTAATGCATTTATTTCAGAATTCAGATTATGTCCTTTCTATTCTTGCTACTTGTCCATCTCAACATCTGCAACTTAGCTACACTCATTTTTATTAAACATGTTGTTTCTCAATAATGTTTATTGCGAGATACCTTATAATGTTATTTTTCACTTCAATAATGCTGTGAATATAGAATGAAACTGTATTGACTGTTAATTCTAGTTCAAACCTAAAATCACCCAGGACTTGTATCATATAAACATAGGCATGGATGTAGAAGTCAGGATCTAGTGAGCATAGAATGCTGAATTTGTGAGCTGAAGAAATGGGTTTTGGATTTTTGCTAAGTGTCAACCATAACCACCACACAAGTTATATTTTGTGAATTGGAATTCATGCCACCTTTGGAGAGGGCATATGTGAAAATGTTAGCTTTCTTACTTGAGAATTTACAATTAGAAAAAGATAAGATTTTGTAATGTATATTGGATAGTTTATTTCAAGCAAGTAAGAAAAAGAAAGACTAGGAAATACAAAAATGTTGAACAAAAATCTCTAGGTTGTCAGATTATGTCTTTGGCACTTATCTATTTAGAAGAGTCTGTTGACAGTTGTTTTCTGTACTCAGGTTTAGTACCACAAGGGTACTGTTGTAATTTCTCCCATTTTTATATTGTACGACTGGGCCAGTATAAATAATATCTCTTAGATTCGCCCCCAGTATTCTAGAGGGTTATCAGTCCACTCGACTCTCCTCTCTCCTCTCCTCTCCTCTCCTCTCCTCTCTTCTCTTTGCTCTTGCTCAACATGGTATCAGAGCAAGTCGTCCAGGTCTGAAGGGTGGTGTCAAGCAAACCTGCTGTTCAATGTCGTGCAGATGGTCTCTCCATCTCCCAGAGCTGCATCCCTCGAAATGCTAAGCTGTTGTATTCAGTTCGACCTAGAAGTTATAGAGACTTTTCATCTCCCAGAGCTGTCTCCATCGAACTGCTAATCTGGTGTACTCAGTTCGACCCAGAAGTTACACAGACTTTTCATCTTCCAGCCCAGAAGTTGTACCCCTTGTCTGCTCGACTGTAGAGAGGCTATCATTTGAGGTTCGTAGAGGGAGTTCTGGTTTACAGAGAGACTATCATCTGAAGTTAAAAGAGGTACTGGTCATCTACTGTTCGGCTGCCCTACTGATTGACTGTTCAGCCGATTGATGGACTGTTGTTGATTGACTATATTCCTTAACAAAGCAGCTGTATTCAGCTGCTTTTTTTTTGGTATTATGGACTGTTGATGTCCTGAAGCTGATATTGTATTAATCTTATTGATTGACTGTTCGGCTACCCTGTTGATCTCATTGACTGGTTGGCTATCAGGCCTACTGATTAGGTGTGTGGTAAACTTCACCCTCTTTTTTTCACTCTGTTGGGAGGTCATATGACTTCTGTTCAATTGTAGGTCATTCAGA